TATGGCTGAGGGTGTTGCGCATTTCACTTGGTATCTCTTTAATAGTGTTCTTCACGTGTTCTAAGAATTTTCTTTATGAAAGTGACTGTCTACTTGGAGGAAATATTCTCCTTTTCGTTAGTAATTGAACAGTTGTCTTCACTGCCTTCACTAGAAACATGTCAAGAATCAGTTTTTCCCCAGTCCCATTAACTCTGCCGTTGATGTGTATTTTAACTTGTTTGAGTCAAGAATCTGCCTACAGTGTAGGAGACCGTGATTCTATCCCTGGGTCACGAAGATCCCCTAGAGGAAGGAAATGGCAACCCACTCCAGTATTCTTCCCTAGAGAATTCTGTGGACAGAGGAGCCCGGCAGGCTGACACGACTGAGTGACTAACACACTTTCTCACTCTCTGTGTATGTTTTAATTTAAAAAGAATTATCTTTTAAACTTTGCTAGGCTACTTCAGATACTTTCTGTAAGGCAATAGAGAATAAATGCAGCTTTTATTCCCTGTGACATTATTTTCAATCCTTTCCCTTCTCACTTGTTTTCCCATTGTCATCCTCTTTATTTTTGCACCAGAGTGACATCAGAGCTTTCATCTTTGCCATAGTCCTGATGATCATCACGTTGGGACCTTTCGAACACTGACTGCTTGTCAAGTTGAGCAGCGTTCAGCTTGGGGTCCTCGGGCCCTCAGGATGCTGAAGCTGGTTACTAATGCCAGAAACACACTCTTAAAAGTTGACTTTCACAACAGGGCATTTTCTTCGTTAAAGTAATCAGTAAGCATACTTTGAGATGGGAATGATATCAATACAGTTATGCATAATTAGGAAAAAAACATGAAGTTTCCTTGAACTAAAATAATGACATCAGCTGAGTTATTATTTAGTCGAGTTTGAACTGTGTGTCAGTTCTGTACTTTCCCTCTCCATCTCAGCTGTCCCCAGACAACTTCCTAGCTTACTGCCCTATGGTATATGTGTCTCTAATTCTTCTTGCTTTTCTGGTTATTAGAATTGCCGAGGTACCCCCTGCTGACTTTGTGCTTGAAACAAGAATGTGGGAAGGGGCCTAGATTTCTTGCCTTTTCTCAAAAACTGTATGAATTGCTTAATGAAGATATTTGCCTTCTGTTCTCTCTCTTTCTCTTTCTTCAAGTTTATTCTGAAATGAGACATTACATGCAGTTTTCTTGGTCTCATTTTGCAAATGGGCAAACAGAGACTTGGAGAGGATAAATAATTTGCTATGGACATTTAACTTGTAAGGGATGGTTGAACTGTTAACCCAGGAGAACTTAACTCCAAGGCATGTAAGCATTCCCGCTGCAGTGTTATTTTATACTCCTGTTACATTAAAATCAAATACATTCAAGTTGAGTTTATGTATTGTGTGTTTTGTGACCAACATCAGACATTCATGAAATTTACAGGTGATTTTAATCTAATTTTGCCTGGGATTGCAAACATAAATATTGAAAAGAACATGAAATATTCTGCCTCTTACCACAGGTGGCATTTAGTAGTTTCATTGTTCTTAATGTGGCGTTTTCATTTCTTTACCCTTTTATCTTGGATGAAGTGCGTTCACAGTGTTTTCATTTGATCCTCACCCTTTGGTGTGACAGATGGCAGAGCAGGTGCCTGACTCCTCCGACCCTTCCGTGGCAGGCTTGGCCTTCAGGGAATGTGGTCGAAGAGAAATATGGTGCTTCCCAACACACTGGTTGCAGTTATTAAACTGTACCTGTGTGTCACATTTCAGGGGTGCTTTTTTAATCCAGTGTAATTTTTCATGCACTGTTATCCTTTTTGTGTCCTTTTTTGCCACTGTGAAGGGTTCAGAACTACTTCCATAACCAAGCTCCAGAAGCATGTAGTGTTTCATGATTGCTTGCTATAGGGTATATTTTGGCTACAAAACCGTTTCTTTAATTCATAGCCATTTATAATGAAATAATGGGGGAAAAAAAAAACCTTACCCACAACTAGGGCAACCACTTATATTAGCTCTATACCTTCTTAGAAATACTTCTTTTTTTTTTTTTTTTAACAGTTATTAACACATGTCAAATTCCTTGGCTGGCATTAGTTAGTGACCCATAGCTGTAGTTCCTTGATTAAAAAATAAACAGCTTTTCAAAAGAGATGATGTGTCAGTTAGGTCTCATGTTGGATTTTCATAAAGCCCATACATGTAAAACTTGTAAAGAAATTTCCAAACTAGTTGTAAAATTGCTGATTCTTTTGAATACTTTGTAAATATTTGAGGAGTGCCTTGGAGAAGAATTGGTATTTTCTTGTATTTTATCTTTTAAATTTTTGCAGGCAATGGCCGTCTCTTTTCTGATAGCTATAGAACATATCGTACAGTGTCATCTCTTATTTATTTTGTATACAGGTTTGAAAATACAGATTTGAAAAGTAAGAATAAGAGGTTAAAATGTAACCAAATTCTCTAGCTTCTCTGAATTCCCATTAAGAGGTGGTAGTTATTGTTCCAGTTGCTGTATAAGTGGCTGATTCACATATGCAGGAGTCACCACCCATCTTCATGACTCCAGAAATAAGCATTTCTGTTGAAGTGAAATTTATCCCCGTACCTATTGTTTTTAGGAATATACTCTGAGGTGCTGGTGTTTTCATGAAAGTGAAAAGAAAGTGAAGTTGCTCAGTCGTGTCTGACTCTTTGTGACCCCATGGACTGTAGCCTACCAGGCTCCTCCGTCCATGGGATTTTCCAGGCAAGAGTACTGGAGTGGGTTGCCATTTCCTTCTCCAGGAGATCTTCCTGACCCAAGGATTGAAACCGGTTCTCCTGCATTGTAGGCAGACGCTTTACCATCTGAGCCACCAGGAAAGTCCGGTGTTTTCATAAATTGTATCAAACGAACAGACTCAGGATTCTCCATAGTTTGATTATAGGTTCTTCTTAATTCTTTGGCAGTTGATCTTGTTCATGTCTTGGGTTTGAATGAGTTGCCTCTTGAGAGAATATGTGAGTCCATTAAAATTGGGTTTTGCAGTTAAATTCTATCTGTCATTTATTACTCTATTTCATCTCTAGCAGGTATCACAACCTAGTCACTTAAAAAAAAATGTATTTACTTGCTTGTTATATATTTTCCTGATAGATATAGACTCCAAAATAGATCTTTTATGTTTCTCTCACTGCTGTATCTCCATTGCTTGGGATAGTGTCTGGCTCACCTTGGTCCTCAATAAATATTTAGTCAGGGAGTGAATGGGTATTATATAGCTATTGGCTTTTATACGAGGAGTTACACTAATGAATGAGTATGAATAAAAGTAGGATATTGTGCTGTCCCTGCCCCAACATGTTTATATTGGAATTAAAATAAGGACAGAATTGTGACACATGATGGTAAGGCAGTATGAAGTCAATTAACTGTATTTGAATTGGATGAGGTAATGGGTCTTTACAGAGGAGCAAGAGGCAGTTTTGCTAGGTACATTGTTCCTCTTTATGTATGAACACATAGACTTTAAAAATGTACCCCTCTTAACACTTCTTCTAGAGCCTGTCATTCTCAAAGAGACTTATTTTGGGATGGAAATGAAAAAAAAGAAAAAGGAGCAGTAAAATTGGAGCTGTGTTTTGAATGCCTGCCATGTGCAAGGCGTAGTTTGAGGAGCCTTATAGTTATTAGTGGAGCTTAATCTTCACCACATTCAGAAAAGACAGGATGGTTATTATCCTTGTTTCACAAATAAAGGAAGGAGGTCCGGAAGGTGCCAGCCCTGCTCCACGGCTCGGGGGTGGAATCCAGTAGATTTCCGCAGGCTTGTCTTCTTCCTGAGATGAAGCATGGGTGGGAAGGACTGATCTTTTTCCAGACCCACCTGAGCCCTCATAATTACACACCCTGGGAAGGGTATTGGAGGCAGAACAGGGTTGAAAAGCTCAGCTGGGCTCTTCTGGGGTGATGAAAAGACATCTGCTGAAATGGCCTTGGCAGTCTGGCCTGGCTTTGGGGCTTTTGAGGCTTTTTTCTTGGTTAGAGGACCTGCCAGCTTGTCAGTCCTCCAGCGCTACCTCCAGAACGCTGGTGTGCTCTGGTGCTCGTGAACATTTTGCTCAATAGGAGACCCTCCCGGCAACAGGCTGTCTCCTCATCCTGGACTGTTCAGTGCACTTCTCTGATATGAGACGGACAAGTCACCAGCAATGACAGCCCATCGATAGTTCACTGGTGTTGCCTGACAGATGTTCACATCTGTAAGTTATGAACTGAGCTAATGAAAAGAATTCAGGAAATGAAACAAGCAGTGGGAAAGTGGACCCTTTTGAGGATTCATTTCTTTTTGTGACCATCTGAATCTAAAAGCATCCCTTGAATTGGGAGACAGGGAAGAAGCAGCTCATTTGAGATAAAGGGAAAGGGAATCATGTGTGCACAGACTCACGTGATGGCCCAGCGCATACACAGAACTCACAGTAGTTGGACAGACCTAGAGTTTTAAACATGACAGGATGCTAAAGAGGTCGCCAGTGTATTCTTTTATTTTTAATTAAATTTAATTGAAGTATAGTTGATTTAATGTTGCGCCAGATACTTCTTGATCGTATTAAGTAACACTTACGCAAAAAGAAGGTAAGTGTTTTTCCAGAGTTGAGATCTGTTTATTCTGAGAATCATGTGATTTTCTTCCCCTTGATTAGTATAAATGCCTTTCTCCCTCCGACTCCCTGACTGCACCCTCCACCCCCAACCTGTCAATTTGAGTACTACATGTCGCTCTTTTCCCTGATGATTTGGTGGTTACGTGAGTACACTGTTTTGAGCTAAATATTACCAAATGGTTATAATGACTGTGCTCTTCCTGTCTGAGGATGCCTTAATGAGAAATGAGTGAAGTGCCTGTTGGGTTTTCCTGTGAAAATTTAGACTGAATGCCCATCTTGGTGTCTCATTAAGATTTTGATGATGTAAAGCCTCCTGTGTGGGCGTTAAAGATCTTCCTTTTCTCTCCTGCACGCCTGCTAGCTCGGCGATGTGATGGTTGACATCGCAAGTAACATCATGTTGGCTGATGAACGTGTCCTGGGGCTGGCGCAGAGGGAGGCCAGAGCCTGCAGTAGAATTGTTCAGTGTCTGCAGCGCATCGCCACATACCGACTGGCAAACGGAGCTCATGTTTATTCAACAGTAAGTGTCACGTTATCCTTGGTTTCTAAGGAAAAGGTTCATTGAAATCAGCTTTAACCTCAAAGTAGGTAGGTCTCATCCCCATTATGGAGTTGAGTATTTTGTTACTGCTGATTATTACAGAATTTCCTGTTCTCAGACATTTAAAAAGGCAGTTTTGCTTCTGAATAGTCTGTTTTCTTGGTAACTGGGCTTAATTTGTAATTTGAGCAGTTACCACCATCTCATCCTCTGACACTTTCTGCAACACAAATACGACCTCCATAGCCTTGCCCTCCTGTCACATGCCCGTCGGGCATCCTAGCTCATGCTGACTTCAGGGCCCTGAAGAATGTTTTGAGACAGCGCTTGATTGCTTGCCCAGGTTTCAGTTTCAGAAGGGAACTAGGACTCCCCCCAACTCTTGTGAACCTATTGACATTTTTCAGTCAATTCCGCTTGGGGGGGAGTGAGTTTTTTAAACGTAATAACCACTCTTGGGCTTCCCTGGTGGCTCAGTGGTAAGGAATCTGTCTGCCAGTGCAGACATGCGGGTTCGATCCCTGAGCTGGGAAGATCCCCTGGAGAAGGAAGTGGCAGTCCACTCTAGTATTTTTGCCTGGGAAATCCCGTGGACGGAGGAGGCTGGCAGGCTACAGTCCATGGGGGTTATGAAAGACTTGGACATGATTTAGTGACTAACCAACAGCAGTGATCACTCTGTTAAATAATCCTAAATTTTGTTTGTGCAGAATTTCTTGGTGTACTGCATACTTTTTTTGTTCTAAAATGTAGATATGATAAATGTGGGAACTATGATAAATAGTGCTTTATTTTATTCTTTTAGCAGTCATACTCTGCTCTGGCCCATGCTTTTCACATTCTAACTATTTTAGTGGATTCGTTGAATGTTTTCTACCTCCTCCTATGATTTTATATAATTCAAAATTACTGTCTTTCCATTAATTGATGGAACCTTTTTGATGAGGCCGTGTTTTATTGATCCTTTTGTTCAGTTAAGTTTAGTATTACTTTCTTGAATAATAAACAGGATGGAGGCCTAGACTGGCTCCTGTGAGGACAGCATAGTTTAGGGTAGGTGCTCTCTATGACCTTACTAGAAATGAGCTTGCCAGTTTGAGGGCCACACTTGGTCCTCCCAGATCATTTAAACCCATTTTCCATCCTGTGCTTCAGCCTTGCTTATTACTCAGCACAAAGAGTTTCCTTCATTCTCCTGAGAACCCACAGGTATAATAGAGGGCGTAGGGGGTATTTGCACACCATTTCAAAGTATAAAAAAGTTCCTGAGAAACAATATATCTTCTGATGACACGGCTTCAAGGGCACTTCAAAATGGCAGTTTTCTTTCAACTGAGGTTTCACATATTTATCATAATTATAATGTGTCTTTGATTAATAAAAAATTTCAAATACAATTTTCAGGTAAGTATGATTGAATTTAGTAAGATTTTTCACACTGTGTCATCTGTGGGGCAAAACTAAATGCAAAGATTTCTTAATCTTAAAAATTTGGGGAACCGCCAGATATTTTCTACTATATATATGGTACTTGAAAACATTCTACCTTCTTATATTTAAAGATTTTAATCTTCCTGATAGATTTTGGACACCTTACATGGAAGTCCTATGTTTAGAAAAAAAATGTTTAAAGGAGAACTTTGTCCACATATGGCACATAGAATGGTGCCCTGCCTCCGTAGTAAACATAGAATTAACCATCCTTAAAGGAAGGAGATGCTGTTTTGTCTCTGGAATTTACAGCACATCCTGTCATCTTGCTGGATGTAAGAGAAACAGGTCAGCCTGTCACTTCTCATGTTGGCTGGTCGTGGTTCTGACAGGTGGGAGTGGTGCCAGAAGCTCCTGGACATGGGTTGGATGGTTGGTTGTATCGGCAGACCCCAGGTTTTGGTAGACTGTCGAGTTCAGTCGCACTCTTGCATTGCTTAAAATTGTCAGGACAGGTGCCATCTTTTTCAGATGACTTTTCTGGCCTAATTCGCCCTTCAAAACCTGTTCATTTATTTCTATTTGGACTAGCATCTCCCTTCCTTTTCTGAAGAAAACTTTGCCATGAGTCTGTATAAAGATTTTATTGGTGAAACTTAATGCTAAGTGTTGATGTTCTTGTGAAAGGAAGAAGTGTAAAGATGTTATGAAGTGTTGAATAAGGCAGCTTTTAAGTGTACTAAGATCATTAAGGGGGTCCACTGATTTCTCTTTTTTTTTTTTTTTAATCAGGATACTTACATTTTCAGCTTATAGATTCCTGCAACTCCTCTTCAGATTATTAATCGACTTCTCATTTATATCTGACCTTCCATACTTCATGAGTTACTCTTTTCGTCTTCGTGGTTATCTTGTTATTTTAGGACATCCTTCTGTAGCTGGCATCTTTTTTGATTCTGCCAGTTATCTACACAGTGTCTTTGTTTAGTAAGAGCTCAAGCTTTGTCCTCTAGCTTATGTAGTATTTTGTGTTTAAAAGTTTTTTAAAGTGCTTTTCCCCCCATGTTATAAATCTTTTGTAACTCCTGTTTGATTGACTTTTGAAGTATTCACCCAATATTGCTCTGGAAGCTTATGTCATCAAGGCTACTGGCTTCACTGGGATGACATGTACCGTGTTCCAGAAAGTGGCCGCCACTGACCGGACAGGCCTGTCTGACTATGGGAGGCGAGATCCCGATGGAAACCTGGATAAACAGCTGAGCTTTAAGTGCAATGTTTCGAATACGTTTTCAAGTCTGGCTCTGAAGGTACGTTATATTCTGTAGTCATTTAAGACTTCGTGTAGAATACAATACCTCCATATCCATAGGTTCTGTATCTATAGGTTCAACCCAACTGCAGATTGAAAATATCCAATTTAAAAAAATATCCTGAGAAGTTCCAAAAAGCAAAACTTAATTGCTACATGCTGGCAACTATTTGCATAGGATTTGCATTATATTTACAGTTGTTTGTGTAACACCTGCAGTAGGTATTATAAGTAATCTAGACATCATTTAAAGTAAGTATACCAGAGGGTGTGCCTAGGTTATATACAGATATTATGCCATGTTAAATAAGAGACTTGAGCATCCACAGATTTTGGTATCTGAGAGGATCCTGGAATCGGTCCTTTGAGGATATGGAGGGTGACTGCACTTAAATGCTCTGCTTTGCAAAAATAATTTTATTAAAGTTTGTTCGGAGGGAGAAGTGTATTAGAATTGCCTTTGTTCTTGTTTTGAAAGAAATTCAGACCAAGAAGGAACACATCATGGCCTTCATGGACCTAGGCATTTTTGCCCTCTGGACCCGTTTCTGCATATGAATGTATCAAAATTTAATTTTATGACTGGAGTCTTAAAAGCATGAATATGTTAGTTACATATTAAGACATTTTCTTTGACTTTAAAGTTCATTTTTATGCTGCTGATTTTAAAGACATGAAGACATTTTTGTAGACTTCCTTAAAGTATTCGGTGCCTGTGGCTCTGTGCTCCTGGGCCTAATGGGAAAGTCCAGGCATTTAATCAAGCCAGCTGTATATCAAGATTTTTTGCATAGAAGTGCACACACATGTGTGTTTATAAATTGGGGCTCCCCTGGTGACTCAGATGGTAAAGTATCTGTCTGCAATGTGGGAGACCTGGGTTTGAGCCCTGGGTTGGGAAGATCCTCTGAAGAAGGAAATGGCAACCCACTCCAGTACTCTTGCCTAGAAAATTCCATGGACGGTGGAGCCTGGTAGGCTACAGTCCATGGGGCTGCAAAGAGTCAGACACGACTGAGCGACTTCACTGCAGCAAGCAAAATTACAAGCATGTTTGTTGGTTTTTACAATTGGGAGTTTAGGCGTGTTTTATTAAACTACACTGAAGCAAATGGTGAAAGTACAGTTTTGACACCCTAATGGAACTGTGTTTTTTCAGCGAGTTTTTTGTGGCTATGTGTAATTGTGTTCTTGGTGGTTTTTAATTACACAGTACTTTCTTTTTTTATAGTTCGTTTCTTAATTATATTGCAAATGATATTCTAGGCATTCCAGTCTTGATGCCTGCATAGTAATCAAATAAGTCTTAGGTGTCCTGGAACACGGGTAGCACAATAAATACTGAATGGATGAGTGAATGGATAAATGAAGAATTAGTATATTTTATCATACTTTGGTGGTTTAGTCTGGTGGTGGCTTAGTTGCTAAGTCATGTCCAACTCTTGCAACCCCATGGATTGGGAATCTACCAAGCTCCTCTGTCCATGGGATTCTCCAGACAAGAATACTGGAGTGGGTTTGGAGTCATGCTTTACACTTGTGACCTCCATAAGGAGAGCCAGTTTGCCTAATTTAGAAATAATCTTAAGTTCTCCCACTGCCCAAGACAGCTATCTCAACTGTATCAGAATGTCTAATGATAATGCATTTACTTGATTCTGTATATTCAGAGGAAAATCAGCCAGATGTGCTTATCACTCTTGGCTCTCGGATAGCGTCTGCACCTAGCAGTGCAACTTCTTAATGTCTGCTCGTTCGTTTAGGGGGAGTATCGGGAAAAACAGTGAGGAAGGCGTCGAAATGGCATCACACACAAGCCCACAAGGTGGGGGGAAGTGTCTTTGAGGAACACTTAAAATTGATGAACCCTTCCATCTTAGATGATCACAGTTGGTAGGAAGGGATTAAAAATGATGAAACTCAACATTTCATCAATTTCACAACCTACCCCTCTGGGTAAGGAGAGTTTCTACCTGCTGAAGTAGAAAGCTTTAAATGAACACTCTTAAATTTGTCAATTTCATACTGTTCCATCATTTTAAGATCATCTTGTGGCCAGAAACTAAGGATGCATCACACTATTATTCATGCTTCATAGATGGACATGCTTACACCGAGTGAATAAGGAACATACTCTTCATGACGCAAAAGTCAGTTAAAAATTTTTGCATTGACAATGCAAAGTGCCTTAGCATTTTAACGGAAAACTTTCACATTTTAGACTTTATATGATGGCAGTTTTTACTCTTCTTTGCTTGTGCTTTTTTTTTTTTTAATGCCATCAGTGGACTAACTAGACATCTTGAACATGTCATATTGATTGTATTGCCCTTGGATGGGAGAACATGCTAGCATATAAAGTTAAACCCGTAAAAAGGCAGTCCTCAGCTGTAGGAGCCTAACTGGAGTTGTTTTCTGCATGTTTTTTGAATCCCTTTTGTCCTGCCTTTACTTTCTTTATTACCATCACTGCCCAGTTTGGGCTTTCATCCTGTATTGCCCATTCCATTGAGAGCTTCTGTTTAGTCTCTGTGTCTCTAGGTTCTTCTTAAAAATCTATGCTTTTCTGAAGTAGGGCACCCAAAACTGGTGCTCTGTGACAACCTGGAAGGATTGGGTGGGGATGGAGGTGGGAGGGGGTTTCAGAAAAAGGTAGGGAGGCATGTATGCTGCTGCTAAGTCACTTCAGTCGTGTCCGACTCTGTGCGACCCCGTCCCTGGGATTCTCCAGGCAAGAACACTGGAGTGGGTTGCCATTTCCTTCTCCAATGCATAAAAGTGAAAAGTGAAAGTGAAGTTGCTCAGTTGTGTCCGACTCTTCATATATGACAAAATCCATCAAAATATTATAAAGTAATTATCCTCCAATTAAATTGATTAAAAAAATATCCATGCTTTTCTTACAGGTTGGTCTGCCTAGGGCAGTATTCAGCTGACGCACACCAATCCAACCGTGGCAGTTAGTAAAATGCTGACGAGCTTCCTTACCCTTCAGCGAATAGCTGTGCCACCCCCACCCCCCAGCCCCCTGAGTACCTCCGCAGCTGACATTCCGGTCCTTTTTCTGGGAACACTCTCCAGTCTCTCCACCCTTTAGCAACTGAAGGCCTGCAGAACCAAGGACCTTTAGGACCTTCCCCTCTGTTCACACTGTTTGATTGTGAACGTTATCCCTGGATCTATCCAACATGGAGATGACCTTGCCAGATCCCACGATAAATTCTTCATGTCGTTTAGGAGGCTGGCTGTCAGTTAACTTAATAATTTGGAATTTATCTGCTCTTTTCTAGTAAAAGAAAGCTTCCTTTATTGTCTCTTCCAACCACTGACCAGTTTTACTTAGGCCAGGCTCATGCTAATTTCTTCCACTAGAATCCCTGCTCCTCTATGCCCCTCCCTTCCCCAGCTGCTTGGTTCTGTGATAACACCCAGCAGAAAGATGTAACCTTTGAGAATCCTAACAAATTCCATCTGGTCAGTCCTTGCCTCTCCCATCCTCATCTTCATCTCTTCCTCGCTTTGCCCATAGCACTCTGCTCATCTCTCTGCCATCGCATGTTACACACAGGGGCCCAGTGGCTTTCTTATTCCTGGACTGAGGGTTGCTTGAGGTCAGAGCTGCTCTTTACGTCATTGATGACCTCCAGTGCTGGCCCACAGTCATTCAACCATTTGGAGATTGAATTAACCTGCGGTATGACTCTTTCAGCACCCGATCTAAATTTTTTCTTTATCAGATGCTTCCTTCCACTGTTGGTACCATAAGTCAGATTTGTTAGCATCACAAAATATTGCCTTTTTTTTTTTTTATTAAATATTAAGAGCTTTTAGTAACTGTTGGTGTTTTGAATTCAGTTGTTAATGTAGCCAGAAGGAATTCGTTTTTCAAAATTTTCTTGGCAGGAATTTGGAAATCAGGTTTTCTTTATGCATCCCACGTTTCTGTCATCCCATCAGGGGCTTTAGCCCAGATGAAGTCCTTTTCATTTCCAAGCCAGTCGTGTACATTCTCACACTTCCTTCCTTCGTATGTGCCCCTTTTCATTCCCTTAGTCACCACCATGCTCAGGGAAATACCTGTTACTCTTTTCTAAGAACCAGTTCAGATGTCAGCTTCCTTTTTTTTCTCCTCAGACAGAATTCATTGTAGCCGTTAGTTCCATAGTGCTTTGTTCATTGTCCAGAATAAGTAGAAGCTGATATGCTGGTGAGTTGAGTTATAGTGAGAAGCTAGAGGATATGGCTACTAAAATGTGTTCATGTTCTGCTCCCCCACTTAAAAGCTGTGCAAACTTGGGCAAGTACCTTAACCTCTTTGAATGTCAGTTCCTTTCTCTTACATAGGGATCATGAAATGGTGTTAAACTCAAAGGGTTATTGAGAGGGTTTAATGAGGCAAATATGTAGACATACACAACAGTGCCTGGTACAGGCTAGCACTTAATACATGTTAAGCTTGTATTGTTTTATCATTGTTGTTGTCTCTTCCTTGCTAAATTTTGAATATTTGAGGTCAGGGACCACAGCTTATTTCATTATCTCCAGATTCTGCACAGTGCCATGAGTAGAGGAATGAAACATCCAATAAACATCATTGAATAAAAATTAACAGCCAAACTTAATTAGTAGAGTCAGTTAAAAAAATTCTAAAAGCAAGCATAATCCTTGTTAATCTTCAGCAGTGAGATAATCAAAAGGTAGAATGCAGTTAATAACTAATTATACATAAGAAAATAATTAGGATGTATCTGAACATCTATCAGCTTAAAATCTGGTGAGTAGATAGTCAAGAAAACATGAACAAATTACTGTTTCAGTCAGCTAACTCTTTGACCCATTCTAATTTTATTGCTAAAATTCTAGAAATTTAAACAAAATTAGGATTTCAGAAAATTTTAAATTATCAATTATGTAGTTTTCGGAGTCCAGATTATTTCACAAGGAATGATAAAATCTAGTGGAAATATTTGAGTTAACATCCCTTATGATACTTACCAT